ATGAAAACCCCATAGAAAACAACATATGTGCAAAAAATCTATTTTTGTGACCTTTCACCTTAGATTTTAATAGTCGCGTACACTCTACCGTGTGTAGGTTTTGAGATAACTTTCAGGATATCAAAAAAAAAGTTTATACGAGTTTATAACTGAGTAACATTCCGAGGTGAACTTACTAAGATGACTGGACTATATATTTATATTGTTTTTGTTTGTGGAATTCAAGGTTTGTTTTCTCGTACAAGCTTATAAAAAATAATTTTCATAATTATAAAGAACTATTATTCAAATGTTAACTTTCATATGTTGACGTAAAATCATTGAAATTTTATCAAAAATATTTTTGTGAAATGGACGTGTTGTACATTTTTTATATCAAAAAAGGTGAATAAACCCCCACTTGTAACTTCGAAAACAATAACATTTTTGAATAGACAATGAAGATACCTATTCAATGATGTAACATAAGCTCATACACTCATTTAAAAATTTATGGGTTGCAATTCTTCCTCCAAAAGATGAAACTTTTAGGTAACATAATATATAAATTTTTTTTACTAACATTTTTTATAAATATGCACAATGATTTAAATAAATAATCTATTCAGTTTGACCATTTTACACTGTATGTATAGAAATATATGAAATTACTTTGTTTTCGCTCTCACAGAACTCTTTGATTTTAGTCGAGTCAGATTTTTTTGCCAAAAATGTATCTCACTTGTACCATCTAGTTTGATTGTTTGGTTCTTAGGTACACTTTTTGATCGCGTCAGTGTTCTGACCAAATATATAATCAAAAAACAATTTCCATCACAAAATAATGTAAAAATGTATAACTTAATTCAAATGAATACTCCTCTAAATTCGTAGAATATTCACCTCTTTTCATCCATAAAAAAGTGATTCTTTTGTGTCACACGTGACACATCCCTACGTACGCCCTGAATCAGAGCACAACACCACCATAATATATTTCCGCGACTTACCTCTACATAAAGCACAAATAGCGAAAATGCCAACAAGAAAGCATTTTCCACCAGATTTCATCTTAGAATTCGCGTCACGTACAACATTAACTTGAGTGGATGGAATTGAAGGCACGGATTGGGGTTATTGAGTTTTTCAGTCTCAATTCTCCTGGACGCACAAACAACTAGGGTGGAAACGTTGCGATTATTGAAAAGTGGAAAATCCTGGCATTCCAGGATGTGGATTATTACATTTGGCGGATGCAACTGCGCACAGCATCCAATTCGATTTTATACAATTGAATCAATCTCGGAGGATCATCTTCGATATCCAGGGGTGGTTTCAGTAACGACCGTTGTGATTTATTTGAGAACACCGAGTGAGCTATGAAGATAGTGTGTCATCCGTTATATTTGGATTGGTGTAAAAGGGGATTGTTTTTGGCAATGGCGGGTCTGCGTGGGATGTTTACTCACTTCTTTTATCTCATGTTATATATCGTGTCACCTTCAAATGTTTTTTAGAGGAACTCAAGACAAACATTTTGCGGATAAATTATTCCATGAATACAATCTTATATATTGTATAATGAATATATTTTCGGTTTAAAGAAGAAAGTAATACAAATCATGAAACAACAAAAATTAATTGGTGCTCCGGGGCGACTTCATTGATTCCAGTGGCGCATTTACTTTTTCAGCTGCAGGAATACCCGGGAAAACCTGCAGCACCAGGTATTAAAAAAGATACCTCAATAATAATTATTAATTTCAAAAGAAACATGCAATGTTTATACTAGGAAGAAATCAAAAGAAAGTTCAACTAATTTGCTTATGGTTTAAATAATGCATGAAATATTCATCAGAATATTGATGATAATGAAGTAAAGAGAATCGAAACTTTTTATGTTTTTTACCACTTTTATTTGTAACTAACGTTCTTGCAGTTTCGTCCTATAAAGACATTTTCAAACTTATACATTAATGTACTTTAACATTATTGTACAATGTACTATAATACATTAATGTAGTAATACATTGATGTATACATAATACAATATTGTATAATATATTTATACATCAATGAATACGTTTGAAAATGTCCTTACAGGACGAAACTGCAGTAACGTTAGTTACAAATAAAAGTAGTAAAAACAAAGTTTCAATTTTCTTTTCTTCATTATGATTTCCTACCACGTAATAACGACTACATCCATCAATATATTGAAAATAATTTAATAGTTCATAACACAAGATATTTTTTAGATTTTTTTTAAATTCATTTAGCTGAAATTTTTCAGAGAATTTGGTAAATTATTACATAATTTAAAACCACTTCAATGAATCGATTATTCTTATTCACTAATATTTGATCCAATATTCAAAATCCTTAGATTTTTTATTGCATTGTTGAATATTGATTATTATTCGTTTCGAAAATCTGATATCAGTGTTTCAATTTGTTTTTTTCCACATGAATAAAGCAAAGTTTGAGTTGTATACCACTGATATGTCTAATTTTAGTTTGTATAAATTAATGGATGGTTCCTCATCATTTTTGTTTTGTTCATAAACACATTTCACTAATTTACTAATGAATGAATCATGAATGAATTAACAAATGAATGAAATAGTAGTATAGTAATAGTATTGAAATAGTAATAGTATACATAAGTCAAATATCTGAAATGTACAGAGTGGACCAAATTGGACACTTTTAAAGGAAACTCCTGTTTTCAAACTAGATAGATGAAAACTGATGTCTGTGTCTGAGGGTCAAATTTCATAACAAATTCAATGGGGAAAACCACATATCGATATCTATCATGTTTTTCGAAAATGTACATTTTTGAAAGGTTACTGTAACTTTTTTCTTGTATTTCCATAGCACTTTTTTATGTAGAATTCAATGGTGTGAAAAACTTATTTTTTCAAATGAGATATCAATAGTTATTGATGGAAAACTATTTGTTTTCAATGAGACACTCTGTATATTCGTGCATATTTCAATAGAGCTTAAAATTACCTTTCCAAAAATGTAGAACACTTGATGTTTTACTAGAGTCATCTTTGAAATACAGACCTGTTAGGATTTTTCATGTAGACTTTGAAACGCACACTTTGATCAAGTAGGCTTTGGACGACGTGGCGATAAAACAGAAATAAATTGTTCATTAGTAGTAGTTATCAAATGTTAATTAAAACGCATAGTTTTAATAAAACTGATAACTATTTATACTATATTTACTACTTATAAATGAAACTTCAACAATAATAATGATAAAAAACAATGAATTATATTTCTTCAGAGAATGTGTTCAAAATGTCTACCAGCTCCTCTTACACACAGGCGACACCTCTCCTGAACGTTTTTTGTCGAATTAATAAGTTCAATAGGAGTGAGAGAAGTAAAACTTTGCATCACTGCCGTTTCCAATTCGTAACTAGAATTGGTCGGCAATTTAAAAATAAGATGTTACAACCCTCCCCAGAGGTAAAAGTTTGTAGGCGTTAGGTCCGGCGACCTGGCCGGCCAAGAGTTGGGCTATCCAATTATTACCAAAATTTGCTGCCAAAAAATTGATGACAATTGCAGTGTTGTGAGCGGAAACCCTGTCTTGTTGAAAATATACTCAGAAAGGTTTTCACCATTAGGTTTGTCGTAAAATTTGACCCTCAGACACAGCTATCATTTTTCATCTATCTAGTTTGAAAACAATGGTTTCCCTTTGAAAGTGTCTAATTTGCCCCATCCTGTACATGTATGAATATTATGATCATCTGAAATGAATAAATTGTACCGAAGGACTTTTAGGTGTTTTGTAAACTTTTGAAGTCTTTCAAGAATATTTTGAATACACTGTGAACTGATCCAACTGAGGATGCTACTATGTAGAGAAACGCGTATTGGAAATAAAGTATATATTGTGAAGCTTTGCAGTTATTACCATGAATACTTTGAAAAATAGAGAAATAATTGGAGTATCGCTTCGAGCGGTACCCATAGAAAGACAGGTGGGTATCCGCGATACCACTGAATATTCTTTCCCACGAAAGTTACCAATACTGGGGGGGGAGTTGATAATGGTTCTCGTCGCCGTCTTTCCAAAGCATCCAAAAGTTTAGTGCAACGTACTAGTTTTAATAATTTGAAACAATGTTCATTAAGCATATGGCGCTGGCTTTAGAAAAGCCAGCGACACACTAGCATTAAACCTTTCTTCTCTATAAAACCTGATATGCGTTCTTTGAAACGAAGTTCAATGGACCGTCTGAGAAAATTGCTGCTCATTGTCCTCGTAGCTTATTTTATGAATATCAGACTTTCAATTACCATCATCTTAACTAGAGTTGCCTAACATATAGGCAAGGTAGGAAACGTACATATGCTCAAGGTCACAATTTAAAAATGAGCAGGAGACCGCTACAAATGTATAAGTTTCTGTCCCGTGTGAGGAGGTAGGTTTGTTAAGTAGAAGGACCGGAAGTGTTAGAAAAGTGACTTATGATTTGCATGCACACATAAAAACTGAATCACTGATGACTGGAAGAGAACCCTATTTTCTGATGAAACAAGAATAAACCTGTTGAAGTTCAGATGGGCGGCAATGTGTATATAGATGACCGGTCCACTCCTTGACTCGTTGGTCGTGCATCTAAAATGTTTTGAGTGGTATTTATTTCAATGGCCGTTCAGAGTTAGTCATTGTTTACCCAGAGCAATTAATGCTAATACTACATATATAAGGTGCCCCTGAAGAATATCATCTAGGAGTTGGTAATGCTCATGTTCTGTTTATTGATTACGATTTTGCGTTACCGCATTCGACAAGATTTGGCACGGAGTAGGAACTTTAATAAAATTGTAATGAACTGGCCAGCACGAAACCCGGATCTGAATCCTATTGAGTATATATGAGACCTTATTAGGAAAACAGTTAGAAATTTGCCGGTTATACGGAACCTACGAATAGCTGGATCATGTTGTTTCAGCATGAGTGAATAAATATTTCCCAACATTTTATTGAAAACTGCATTAGAGGTTTACCACGCCGGATTCAGACTGTTATCTGAGCCACAGAATCATCTCATATTACTTTGTTCTCTTTGTCAACTAGGTAGGGCACATTTTTTAGTTAGTCTAGAAAAATAAAAGTTTCGAATTAAGTGATGTGTGATAATTTTGAACATAATCAGTGTATTTATTTTTATGAAAATATCTCAATATCTTTATTGCGAACTTCTCGAGAGTTCATTCAATGAAACTGGTGAAAATCAAGGGTTTCAAACATAGCTGCGATTATCAATAACGGGAATTCCCCTTCAAAAAAAGTAGGAACGTCTTTGGTTCAGCAAGCACCAAAAACATAAACGGGGACTTACTTGAATTAAATTTCCATATAAACAGAAGAATATAAAGTGGTGCATTTATTATAATATGGAATACTAGATCGATGTTGAATATTTAAAGAGAACAGAAAATGTGTCGTAGAATATCAAAAGTACCAATGGTTTATTTGAATTTATCCGAACTATGCTAAAAGAGAATAACGCAAAAGAAATTAATTATTTTGAGAACGATTTTGTAATTTCAAAAGTCGAAATTTTGAGATTTAAGTGGAAATTTCGAGTTTAAAAGTCGTAATTTCCAAGAAACAAATTATAAAAATATGCGACCCTTTTGCGCTTCCATAAAATTTTGACTGTAATCTCGAAATTTCGATTTTAATCTCAAAAATTTCAAGTTTAAAGTCGGAATTTTCGAGAAGCAATTTCACCTAATTTTGAAATATCGATTTTAATCTCAAAATTCCGCGTTTGAAGTCATTTCCATGAAACTAATATTAAAAATATGTGGCCCTACTGAGCTTCCGTTAAATTTCGACTTCAATCTTGAAATTTCGATTTTAATCTCAAAATTTCGCGTTTATAGTCGGAATTTCTAAGAAACAAATAATAAAAATATGTGGCCCTTCTACGCTTACGTAAAATCTCGACTTTTATTTCGAAATTTCGATTTTAATCACAAAATTTCGCGTTTAAAGTCGTAATTTCCAAGAAACAAACAATAAAACTAATATGTGGCCCTTCTGCGCTTCCGTAAAAATTTCGACTGTAATCTTGAAATTTCGATTTTAATCTAAAAAATTCCGAGTTTAAAGTTGGAATTTCCAAGAAACAAATAAAAATATGTGGTCTTTTGTGCTTCCGTAAAATTTCGACTTTAATCTGTAAATTTCGATTTTAATCTCAAAATTCCGCGTTTGAAGTCATTTCCAAGAAACAAATAATAAAAATATGTGGCCCTTCTGGGCTTCCGTAAAATTTCGACTTTAATCTCAAAATTTCGATTTCAATCTCAAAATTCCGCGTTTATAGTAGAGTATGAATTTATAAGAAACAAATAATAAAAATATGTGGCCTTCTATACTTACGTAAAATTTCGACTTTTATCTCGAAATTTCGATTTTAATCTGAAAATCCCGAGTTCAAAGTCGGAATTTATAAGAAACAAATAATAGCAATGTGGCCCTTCTGCTCTTTCGTACATCTTTGAAGAAAACATATTTTGCTTTTTTTAACTTTCAAAGAAATTTTTTTGGATATATATTAAGGCCTAAGCTCAGTATCGAAACAAATAGAATAGTCATCAAGCAAAATCGTTACATTAAACTCATTTTAGATATTAAATATGAAGATTCCTGTAAGAAACCTTTCCGGAATACACATTACCGTGTATTCATCTTTACAAAATACAAAATTATGTTCATACAAATTCCCATTTGCCAAGTGAAAATGTGGAAGATTATTCTCATATCAAAAGACAGAGAACCGACTTCACTAGAAAAAAACATTTCCTATTAGCTCCTCAAGTTGGACGGTACCTGTCGTCTGCACAAATTGAGAGTTGCCAGAAACTTAAAACATCTTTATGTCACACCAATTTGTGAGCTGCTTCTCAACAACGATGGATTTTCAATCAAAATTCAAACTAATTGAATACAATAACGAAAGTGAGAAACATTTTTTAATGCGTTTTAGGTCGCTTCATGTAATGAAATTTAATGGTATTTCTCTCATTCAGGATATCCATCACAAGTGAATCTCATTTTATTGTATTCCTGTTACAAGTCATATAAAAAGTATAGTACTCTACTCGTGAAAAAGAACAATCACTCGCTTGCATGATTTACGACGCTCGCCTTCTGTTTGCGTCTTCATACTTCATACTCACGTGTAATGACATTTATCGCTCTTTGAAAAATATACTATCAATTTCACCATCACAGAACATCTGAAGTGAAACAAAACAAACAAATTCAGGAAAACTCGAAACACATTCTTCTAACAAGACGTTTTTACATTTTTTGGGAAACATATTTTGGGAAATGTAACGTGTGATTTACAATTTCTGTGTAGAAAATTTGGAATGAAAACGTATTTAAAAACGCTCTTTAATGTGAGAACTTGAACCTCATATCTACTCAAATTATTAAAAAAACTTTTCCCATATATTATGAAAAAGAAAAACCACTTCAGTAAAGTCCTGAGACCTTGCAGGACACAAAACCACTCTCAATTTTCTGTTTTTTACGTTATGGTTAGGGCAAATTATAAAATTTGGACAGAAATATTACTGGAACTCATCCATTTTCATTTACTATAATGTGTAGTAATCCTGTGAATGATAACTGTTTCAATTCCATTTGGCAAAAAGTGTTGTTTGATAAATCATTGTTCATATGAAAGTAGTTGTTCCAATTTGTGTTTGAACATTATTTTTTATAAAAACATCTTTGTGTGGAAATTATCTTGAAATTAATTCCTTTCTTCCATCCTTTGGAAGATTCCATTTTTTTTTATTTCAAGATGGAGAAGTAGAAAGCCGAAACCTTTCCCAAAAATTCATCTCTCCCGAAAACATAGCCCATTCATTTGTTTTGGGAATCATCTCTGGTTTTTTACTCAAATCCTTGAACGATATGAAATTTAATTTTTTTCATAAGCAAACATTTCTGGTCAATTTACTAACTGATCGCATTACTAATCAGATTCAAAAACCTCTTTCATTATTGCATATAGATTAACAAATTTCAAATTTAAACTTATTTTACCAAAAAATTCAAAGTCATCTGATAATTGAACTACTATTTGAAGCAATCACATACGTCAAGCAATTTATTAATTAAATTACTCAATAAAATCCAATGTAAATAAAAATTTTCTCACAATCCCCTTCCTGAGATAGTTTTCCTTCAGTGCTAGTGTAGTCTTTGTGAAAAAAAAAACTAAAATTTATGTTCGCCAATAGAGCAGAGTAACCATTCAAAACAAATTTGGCACTTACTTCACAAATGACAGGCATTACACAACAGTTTTGTAAACTGAATTTAGCAATTATTTACATATACATTCATTATTTTCGATACAGGGATCCTAATATTTTCCTTCATTTATATAATGAAATTGTTTTATACACGCAGTTTTTTTCAGGTGCTATTTTAGAAACGGTAAGGTCGGTTAAATTAGACAAAAATTTTTAATTTTGGGGGAACTTAAATATCTTTTCAGATTCAGAATGTCGGTGGTGGTTTTTGAGATATTCGCCAAAAACTAGAATTGTTAAGTTTCGTTTTTTGGCTCTACCGCCTCCATTTCGAGTGATGTAACAAAAAAGGAAGGGGAACTTTCAATACTGTTTCATATTCGTTACAATCTGATGAAAACCAATTTGCAATGCAACGTTTCGTTCATTAGATTTCATCATCAACTTCATTTATTGAATGTGTACCTCTAGTTATTTTCATCAACTTTTGTAGCCACTATAATAAATTTATCTATGTATTACAATACAGGTTCATATTAAAAAAAAAATAGTTGACGAGATCTAATGAATGAAATGGAGGAGATTAACTTAGAATGATTCAAACGACTACATCATGAAAACTGAACATTTTCTCAACTCTGAAAGTAGAATTGAAATATTTTATTAAATTTTGTCTTTTTGAAAAACCAATCTGAGCACATGATCAAATTATTGAATCCCGAATTGTTTCATTAAAAAAATCTGAAATGATGCCACAACTACTGTTGAGAAGAGGTTGCTATATCAAACTTCATGTTTCAAGAGTACTTTTAATCGATTCCTAAATCCAGCCTGAGTTCAAAGACCCACTTTTTTGCTCACATTAAAGATTTATAAAATGAAAACAATTTATTTTCCTTAAAAATAATTGATAACAGCTCTGATTGTAAACTGGGAAGAATACATACATATAAAAAAAACAGCCTAATTTAATATTTAAAAAGGACTAAGGTTTCTGTATAATGAAATGTCAAACTGTACAATAGGTGTGTTTACTGCATCATTTTCCTAGAAAACACATGAAAAAACTCTTGATAAATACATGCCAACCTTTTCTTCATGAAAGTAAGCCCAAATTCTCTATCAAAAAATTATAATTGGTCACATATTCATAAAGAGTATACACAAATAAAAAGTCCTATTGAAAAGTTTAGGTATATGAGGTTACAAGATGTTATTGTAACAAACTGTGGAATTGATGGTGAATTGGTGCCAACGAGAGGCAGTAACTTAGAAGGCAAACAACAACAAGAATGCCATCATAAGACAGAACAGTCCCATAGCCTCAGACAAGGCGAAACCCAAGATAGCATATGAGAAAAGCTGTTGTTTCAGACTGGGGTTTCTGGCGTAACCAATGATGAGGGAACCGAATACTGTTCCAATTCCAGCTCCTAGAAACAAAACAAATATTAAATTTGCTATATCCTATCAAGATAAAAATAATGCAAATGGAAATAGAACAGCCTAGTTTCAATATTATTATTACTCTGTTCTACTTCCTTCACCTAAAAAAAAAATTATATATAAAACTGAACCTACCAAGCCCGAGAAAATATATTATAAATTTGCATGGATCCTCTTTCTCTTGATATTCTCAAACCAAAGAGCATACTTGATGTTCACCAATTTCAATAATTTTCAAAATAATGTTCAAACCAGTAAAAATAATTTTATTTCAAATTCAATGGGAAATTGCATATATTTCTATGGTATTTATTTCTTAAATCTAAAAGGCAAATAACATCAAGAAAGCTATCATAATGCAAAATAAACCCATCGCTTCTGATAGGGCAAATCCAAGAATTGCATAAGAAAATAGCTGCTGTTTCAAAGAAGGGTTTCTAGCATATCCGATTATCAAACAGCCAAAAACTGCACCGATACCAACACCTGAAATTATCATTCTAATTTAAAATTTGCAAAATATGTAAAATTTTGACCATCGAACTCTAATGAAAAAGTCAAAAAGCAGGCAACTGGACTGGAATTTTGATACTATCGATTTAAATTATTTTCATAAATACATTTATATGGAAAATATGTAAAATGTGCTGCAGTAGCTGATGAATAGCTGATGTTCGTTTTCAGGACCAACTTAATTGGTTCAAGATATCAAAAAAAAATTATCTGAACACAACACTGGATTCAAGTAGTTTTCAAATGGTTCATGTCAAAATGCGTTCATCAATAAAAAAGTTATAGGTTATAGACCTTTCATCAAAATTCTGACTTGGATTCATCAGGTTTTGCTTCAACACTGTCTAGAATTTCATAGAAATCAATTCATGATTGAATAAGTTATAAGTGAAGAAGAGTTGAATGATGGACAACAATTATTGCATCAAAATTTCTTCACTTATAATTTTTTCAACAATAAACAGATTTCAATGAAATTCTGAACATTGATGAGCCAAAAACCTACTGAATCCAGTGGAGTAGTCAGAATTATGATGATGAAAGTTCTAAAATTCATTTGGTGGGATAATTGAATGACATTTTTCAAATTTCATTCCCTTAAACTTTTTCAATGACCTTTTGACCTAATTTTGACATTTCAAAATTACCCAAATCCAGTGGTGTCGTCAGATTAAACAAAATCAGTAAATTGTTTTTTTGATTTTTGACACAAGAATAATAAAAGTTGGCCCTGAAAATAAAGTCTCAATGACATATGGGCTCTAATAGACTTCTCAAATGTCTGCCCAATTGAAAAAAAAATCCAATAAGCTAAAAATAATGTTTTTTGAGTATATTCATTTTAAATGTGTCACACTGTATATATATATATATATTAAACGAACTTGAAAGCACATTCGAGAGTTTGACATAGACCTCCTTTTGATAACTTGCGCGATATATAGTATGAAAAAGGCAAATTCACCCACCACAAAAGGTTTTGGAGTAACAATTCATTCTTTCAGGTTGCACATGAGACATTACTCACAACCAGGCAAAAAAATTACTTGAATTGTGTTACAATCGTTTGTCATATAACACTCAATTCATTTCAATTTAGAGGTTAACTTCATGGTTTTCAAGAGAAAATAAAGTTTTAAAAATAACTTGAGTTCAATGAAGCACTAGGCTAAGTTTTCCATTTTTGTTATGATCTGTTTATGACCCCTAAAACGTTTCGACAAGAAAAAGTATTCTAAAATTATTTCATTGCAAAAACCTCAATGTCATCTTTGTTTTAGGGTTTTCTGAAGTTCCCCTGAAAACAGAATGAATTTTCGATAAAGATTTGCAAATACTTAATGTAACTTATGCTAATTGTTTTTTAGAACAGAGAAAGTTATATAATATACCATCCAATTTGAAGTTAAAAAAATTAACATTATGAAAGTTCAGCCACTCTTAAGTATTCAATAAAAAACAAGAACTGAAATAATCATTTCCTCTTTTTTCAGATATGAATTCTCTATGGCTACGAAATTATTGTTCCCAGCAAGTTACAAGTACAAAAGTATCGTGTAATGAACAGAATATAACTAAAAGTTTGGAATAATCTCAATTATATAATTATGTTGCATAATGACGAAAGTTAAAATATTAAGTTAACTCTTTTTGAGTGTATGAAACCGAGGCGATTTCAGTGAAAAGAAAACCTCTTTGATCAGGTGAAAAGTATTTGATAATCCTGAATAATTAAAATGAACCATACCTGATCCTGCGACTCCTACTGTTGCAGCTCCAGCTCCAATGAATTTGGCAGCAGAGTCAATGTCTCTGTTTACTTGAGAGGTCTGAAAACTGCGGATGGCAGGTAGGAGGGATGGCTGCTTGTGTTGTTGAACATTCTGAACTTGAATTTGACTTTGACTTACTACACTGCTCAGTGGCCTCATGTATTGTTTGGAGTTGGCAATAAGCTGGAAGAAAATAATGGTCAAACAGGAGTTTTTCAAGTGAAAACTTCGACCTCTACAAAAGAATCTGATTTTTTTCAAAAATGAACATTTTCTGAAAATCTACTGCCTAATTCAACATTCACGCAAACTTGTTTAAAAAAAACAGTTTTTTGACTTATTATAACACACTAGGTGCGTTTAACTTCATTATAGATATGATTCTCAAATATAATATATCTGTAAGTTACATAATAGTCCGATTTTCCATGGATGGATTTTAAAGTGTGTAAATATAAAATAAAGTTCACTTACTGCGCTCCTTGTAGCTGGGGCAATCAATCTGGCACAGGCAAACATTTTCTTAGTTTATTTCGTTCGCTACTTCACAAGCCTAAAAAGAAATTCGAAGTTGATAAGATGGCAGCCGACTATGAACTGTCAAAGTCACAGGTCCGCGACTGAAGGGTTACTTATTACATAACGTAGTGAACCATTTGTTAACGTGGACTTTGTGTATGAATTTAAACTAAAATAAAATTGAAAAATGAATATGAATATTGCCAAAAATCAAACCTATAATAATGTAAAGTTAGCATTTAGATAAATGACAATCACAAAAATGGCCGTAGATAAAAGCTAGTTTTACGTAAGAGGAAATTCGTAAAAGTTTTGTAATTGAGTAAATATTCAAATATACTCTTTTTTTATTGATTTGATATCTCACGATATCCATGATTTAAGGCGATGGCAAGCGATAGACGAAAAATTTATAGATATATGAAATACTACCTTACCAAAGAACAGTGTAGCACAACACGAAAGCGAATTTCGGAACTGTGAACGAAATGAACCAACCACTGAAAAAACTGCAGGAGATTGCGCAATGTGCATAGATACGCTCATGCGCAAATTTATCTTTTATTCTCTCAAAAAGTGGAATATCTCGCGAAAGTTGCATTTTGGCTCCCATATTTTAGGAGAGGAAACTCTCGGCAGCTGTGTTTTTAGTTATACTTTAGTTATACAATTTATACCTCATTTTCTATTTTGAATTTTTCTCAAAATTATTGTGTACATTATTCACAGGCACAGGCTTCAATAATTTTTTTTGTACATTAAACGTATATTTATTTATATTTTTTTAACATATAACTTAAAAACTCTAACTTCAAGGTGAAAATAATGTGAATAAGATTGAGAGGTAAGATAGGGTTATAATGAAAAAAATATCCTAATTATATTACAGAAAGTGAGATTTAAATTCCTCCCCTCCCAACAACCACAGGAGTCAGTTCCAACTGGCGCGAAAAGTTATTTCGTTCAATAGTCACGTCAAACCAATGTTGTCAATTTCTACTTTCTGTCATTCCATAAGTCACTTATATTTCTCATTTCGCCCGGAACTAGATCAATAAGAAATTTTTATTTCACAAGAACAAATACCTATAGGTACTGTTTCTCGACGTGCGATTCGATGAGTTAGTCATATTCTGATGATGGTACTTGGTTAACGAAACGCTCGTCGAGAGATCAAGTCAGAATAAGACAATTCATGCCCGTATTCTCCGTATATTATGCAAAGCCAAGCTTTAGTAAGCTCTGCTGAAAAATTAAACTCAACTTCAATATTGACGTTAAACACCGTAATTTCTTAAGTAAATCTTTCTAAAGCCCAAAATACATTAGGCAACGCATGAAAATTGTTGAAATTATCTGAGTAAATCATGCTCCCCAAGCACAATGAACTAAAAAAAAAATTGTGTCAGAATCAAAGATAACCGGTCAAAATCGTGCAATGTTTGTGTTCGATTAAAAGGGATCGCGGGTACAGACAAAATATTCCAATAAGCTAATTTGAACAAAAATATGTAGAGTTTTGAAATAATTTTAGCTTTGAATGTATCTTAACACATCAAACAGCAAACTTTTACTATAACAAATCAAAGAATGTAAATCAACCATGGTCCATCAGTAAAAAGTGAAATAAGAACTTTATCTGTTAGGCACTGAAATTACAAGGACGAAGGTTGAATGTTATGGGTAGGTATATAAATATTTGTAATTTGTAGGTAGGTACAGTTGTAAATTATAGTCGTACTTCTTCACAGCGCAGACAGAAAATTAGGTTAGGTTCATAAAAGCTTGGCTCAAAGGCTTTAAGCCGCCAAAAATAGAGGCATAACTTTAAAGCTTGAGACTGATTTTTGTTACGTTGTATATAAAATTTACGAAACAAGCGAGCTTAAGGTCTGAACCAGACTTATATTATATGGATAATACGGCCGTTAGCGACTGTATACGGAAGACGCATCACTTTTCCTCTAAATCCATATGGTACACAGAAAACTCAATGAAAAAAATTTCAAATTTTTTTTAATCGAAAATAATCTACAGTTTAAAGTCGATTTGACCTAGAATTTGATCAAATTCCCCCAAAATGCCAGCGAATCACGTGGTTGTGCTTGTCTTATGAGAAAAGCCCTACTAGGTACTATCGTAACTAATTATCAATTATGATACAATTACAATGAACTAGTGATGAATTATTAATAACAATAGAAAACTTAATTCAAACAGCTTTCGGCTATTAACAATTGAATAAAAAACAATTTTTAGAAAGTACGGATACTTCAATTTTGAAAACAATATTAGAGATTCAAATTATTGTCAAAAATTGTGCATCAATATCACGTGTCAAAGCGAATACGCATGCTCAAATGGAGTGACCCTTTTTCCTGAAGTATGAAAAATTATTCACTAGCAGCGCTAGTAGTTCGGTACTGCCTTATCCTCATATAAACAATTAATTAAGTACAAATTACAATTAAAAAAGAATGTTTTCAACACAAGATGTTCCTGGAGCAAAACTAAAATTTGCAACTGTAAAGGAAAACAATGTTGTAACTTCAAAACGTTGGCTTGCATGCCGTAATTTAAAAGTAACTGGAAAAAAAGTTAATTAATAGACAGGTTAGTATAAAGACTCTAGTAAAAGAGTAAAGGTAGATTCAAACTGAAATAAAAGAAATTTAAAATAATTATGAATTTCAGATTTATTTCCGAGTGAAATATGAATAAAATATAGATGGTAATGAAATAAATTCAATCAAATATAATAAATGAATATAATTTAATAAAAGATTGAGGTTATATCTCATTCTAACCAATGGTAATTAACTATGAAAAGTTTACTATTCATTTCATGTTTAGAGCATACAAATGAATATTTATTTATTTTTTGCACTGTTAAATCCACTCTTCCCGAAGCATGTATCCATTTTTTACATTTAACCTCATTAATATGAGGTTTTATAAATGGTATAAAAAACACGTTTTCTTCCGGATATCGATTATCCGACGTACAATTCGCAAAGCTGCAATGCTTTGTTGGCATTATACTAGCACAAAATGATTTTTATATCAGATTTATATGTTTAAATAATTAATCATTATTACGTAAATAAAACTGTTTTACATGTGAATAGTTTATGCTTGTCCCTACTACTAGTACTGCCTCTCGTGACACGTTCGCTGTACTATTTTCAGGAAAAAGGCTCATTGTGTCATATGTAATGGAGTATGAATTCTTAATGTATTTCCAACGTCAACGTCGTTAATTTTTTCAGTCGGATCTCAGATGCCTTTTTTTTCAATATTGCTTATTCTGTTAAAAGTTGTTTTTCCGTTCACCAGCTGTCGCCCTACTAGAAACGACAACCTTCAAAAGTCGATAACAGGTGCGAGCCAAGGATTAACGTGGTCTTATCTTATAACTTGCGATTCCTAGTACATTATATATTAAATGAATGAGTTTATCTTTACTGATCAAATTGTACATCAAGTTCAACTTATCGAGCAGTTTCAAAAGTTTCGTTCGTTTTTCATGAGTCTACTTTAAACTGTAATATCTCAGTGAATGTTTATTCAATTTAATCGAAATAAGCGCTTTTTAAATCAGTGTACTTTTGCCAACGTAACACAAGTCGATTAAATCCGTCAGCAAAAAAATGTCTCACTCGGAATTCGATGAAGGCCGTTTTTGTCTGGCCCTGATTGGCAAAGGTTCTACAGGTGAGAAAGTTATCGAAGTGCTTGAAACGAAGGTAGTCAGTTGACGATAGGTCTGGGGAGTATAGTGGGTGAGGCAGAAATTCGACGCTTAATTTATTCAATTTTCGGACGGTGATTTGTGAAATGAGGGGACAGGCGTTGTCGTGGAGCAGGATCCGTCGATTTTCTCACTCTGATGTGATCGTTTGACCTGGTTGCGGAAAGTTATAGTGAGTTATACCAGCCGCTGACCACCATACAGTAACCATGGTCTTTTTTGGTGGATTTTTCCCTTACGAAAGTTCCTGGGAGGCTCATTGGTGTTCAACCACCGTCCTGAACGTCTCCTGTTGTCGTAGAGGATCCACTTTTCATCACACTAACGATCCGATCCAAAGAAGGATCGTTTTGGTTGCGCAAAATCAGTGAAGAGTAGACCTTGAAATGTGAACATTTCTGTAAATCGTTCAAATCGTCGAGCATCCACTTTTCGAGCTCTCTGACCTTTTTTTTACCACCAGGGTTCTCAAATCATCGTCCTGGATTACTGTAGGTCGACCACTTTGGGGCTCATCATCAAGGTTAAAATCACTGGAACGGAATTTCGCAAAAAAGCGTCGAACAATCGTTCAATACCACTATCATTGAGAAACTCCTGAATTCATAGAGAAAAATTGTTCAAAATTCGCTTAACGACATCATATAGTAATAAGCTGAAAAAAAGCAAAAAAACATAAAATTTGGATAAAATGAATAGTATCAATATATAGAATATAAAATTTTCTATCAATCAGTATACACTACGACACAGTAGAATAAATATTTATTGAGATATGTAACTACGAGAACACATGACATTGAAACGAAGAAAACTTTTGAAACAACCTTACTACTAATTAAACTATTGCTTCAATGTCAAGAATAAGTGAATGGACTCCCACTACTTCAGTTGAAATGAAGACATTTTAGAAGTTATATGTATGGAACATGATCATACACTTTTTCTCAAAGATAATTGGCGGCGGTCTACTCTCTACACAATTTCAGTCTCAAAGTTCATGAGTCGAAATCGATTTTAATTGCATTTACAAATGTAGTAATTGTCAGACAATGAGAAAAGTCTTCCGGGGAAGTTTAGCCCCTAATAAATACACTGAATATAACTTTCAAAATGCATTATTCTTTTTCATGGAAGAATTTTATTCCGCCAATCTAGGGAAAAGGACATTAATTTGGTTTCAAAGTTTTCAAGATATGTTCAAAGGGTGCCTATACATATATATTCATTGTGGGATGAAGAAAATCAAAAGAAGTCTATTAGTTTACAGAGTTGTTTTTGAGCTAATGGGGGTGACTGATTGAACCAATGGAAGATTATTTACTGATAACTGGTAAAACAGGAATTATAGAATACAGGCCACACTTGGTTGAGAAGAGACAGATGGGAAATTTCAAAAGCAGCTGTTTCTAAAAAATTCAAAAAGTATGGGCAAGAGAAGATTGGAATAGTGATTGCAAAACACAAAACATTTGTAAATAATGAACCGGTTGACAAAATGACAGAAGTGAACGCCAGAGACGGTAGTGTATGAAATAAGCCCTCAGCAGTATGCTGTTACAACAAAATGTCTTTGTAGTCTATTGTGGTATGCAAGACCATGAAATGGTTCAGAAAACTACTGTGGAGGCAGTAACAGGAACATATATTGTAAACAAATATATCCTATACAATACAGTCAACAATGACAATTAACCTATAAAATTTAAAGAAGCCCTTTCTTTTCAGTCACCGCAAAATGAAGACAATCCACAAATACATGTTGAAACGGAAACAACAATTGAACACAAAATGAAGATATCTGACAAAAAAAGTATGCAAGTACGGTTATATTCATTAGCAAACAAAACAAAATATAGAACATGTTTGTCCACCTTGTCTAGGTCACCTAAGGGATTGCGTTTTCAATATTCATATTCATTTTGATAAAAAATTATTTAATATTGGCTTTATTTCCACCAAACACCCAACATATATTAATACCACTTTCATTTCCTTTTTTTAATTAGAAAATAGTTTTTAGTTTAATGGTACACAAATGTTCATTTCTTCAAAACAAACTATTCAATAAATGAAACAATAAACACTCACTTCATTTGTATGTTTTATGTGCTATAACAAATACACGCTAAGTGTGCAAAGTTAGTAAACACACAGCATAAAAGCGAATAATCGATTGTACACGTCACTTTTGCAAAATATCTTTGCATATGTTTAATTTGTAAAAATATTTCTTTGAGGTTCAATATGTAGAAGGTGTTCCTTGAAGTGAACAGTGCATTTTCTTCTTCACTAAAATATCCTTGTGAAATCTCAGGGTTGGTCCTACATACGAACTATCAGATTCATCAAAATTTCAATTGTCAAACCTCATATAATAAATGTGTGAAAAATTTTGTACTATGTCCAAAAATCGAGAGCCTTTTTGTTTCAAAACCAAACTTTAAATATATTTGTGAAAACTTTAGGTCATATAAGTATTGTTCAGTTCAGTAATCAATCTTATACCAGGGCTTTGATATACTATTTTCTCATTTTTCTCGTTAATTATTCGTATTTCAATGTGAAGAATTAGGGTATTTATTATTTCGTGAAGTTACTACATTTTTTTAGTTCTATACCTGATTTATTCCCCCTAATTAACGTCTAAGTTAGAAAATATATCCCTATAATTCAATGGTTAAATTGAAATCAACTATTGACCCTCATGATAATTATAAAAGTAAAGCATTGTTTTATAATCGTTCGGTTTTTCTGCACAACGGACAAGTGTCATTGCCAACAAGCCACTGTGAGATACAATTAGAATGAAATTCATGCTTGCAGGGTAATATTCTCAAATCGCCGACCAATTTTCCTAAACAGATGCAGCACTGATCAATGTTCTTTCTTTTTCTTGGGGGTCTGAAATTCAAAAGATAAAATATTAGCGTAGTAATTCTTAATATTTTGAACTTAGTATACTATTTTGACTTGATATAAACTCTCTTCCCCATGTACTATAGAAAATTAATTTGTATTGAACAATTTAACAGTGAGAGAAACTGCACCCAGCCTAAGCTATTATATATACTTTTTGGGAAAATTTTCTTCATCTTTCAAAAATACCCATTCTGAATAGAGTGAAACCTTGATTTCAGGAATAAATTCATAATGAACAGAAACCCAGATGAATGTTTTCTCACCAAATCCATATGAGATCGTTCATACACCACACTTTTACTTTAAAATATAGGTGTGAACGCTTAAAAGTGAATGTGAGGTGTATGGACACTCATCGACTCACAATATTCACTGTAAAGTTTCGTATTAGGCATTTCAACTATATAGTAGTTATCACTTCTCATGTGGTTTTGATGACCTTCAAAGATTATTTAAAACCTCATGACATTTTCTCATTATCATTAAGGAGAACAATAAATTATAAAAAATCATTATGTTACATATTTTAAATTGATTGAGGTGTTTTCTGGCGTTTAATCTTATGGAGTATGTATTCAAAATCGATTTGTAGTGACGTCATTAATAATACTTGCTAGAATGGAAAGATTCATTTGTGTCAGATGTCAAATTCAAAAATAAAAACAAACTTTACAATTTTTTCTAACCTCAATTAGAATCAGATTTGCACATTCAATTTTTGCATAATTGTTACAAATATAGCTGCATTTTTGAAACAAGAGACCCAACATTTTTTTCTAAAAAAAAATATGAACCAACAAGTAGCTATTCTTCATCAAGTCCACCAACAATATGAAGAAACCAATTACATTATCAAAGTGTTATATGGTCTAATAAATGATAAAACTTGATTAATAACTTTCCAGCTTTATTTTGTACATCCTTACAACATATTTGATAAAAAGTTTTCAGCACTTTCATCAAAATATAGCAGAAACTGATTACTGATGTAACATAACGTCAAATTCTGTTTCAAAACCAACCTCTCCCTAGTTGAAGCTTGGTGATTGAACCAGCTATCACATGCAAATATTTTATATTCAATGTTAAGATTTTATTGAATAACATTTTATGTGAAAAAGAACGCTATTCCTTCTTACAATAAGTAGGTAGTTCAAGATACTACTGAATAAATATGGTTTTGTTAAAAGCCCTATGCATTTTGTATCGACTTTCTTCGATTATTTTCACCTTTCACAATCTGAAAAATATAAAAATTGCAATGGGGAACTTTATACAGTATTGAAAGGGCAAACTTTCTAGTTCACCCTGATGAGTTACTGAGGCATTCATCGGGAACTTTAGAGATAAAGGAGAATTAGTGAAGAAAAAACTGCTTATGAACTTAGATTTCTTTGAATTATGAAGATGGAGGCAGATTTTAGCCTCGGAAACGTTAAGATAAGTATCCATATAATTTCTCAGCTTTTCTGATACACTACACGTGTATAAAGTTATCCATTATTACAATTTTCCTATTTTTAGATTTTGGAAGGTGAAAATACCAAAAGAACATCAATGAAAAATGATTTTACTCCACAAAAACAAACTTTCGTTCAGCTGCTAAAATGAAATTTCCTGTGGAATACATTTGTTGATATTAAGTGTATACAGTAGATTCTGTCATAAATTTAGAGGCTTTGGTTAACTTTAATGACTTCAGTTACTTAAAAAATGCAAAATATATGGTTATATGTTCTCATTTCTAATTATTATTTTCTTTTTGAAACAATCAAGTAAATATTGTCAGGAGTCAAAAATCTTCTGAAGAATGGCTACTTCCAGCTATTTATTTTTAAATATAAGGCAACAAAACAACTCCCATACTTACTCTTTACTCTTGTTTGTGTCGTAACCAACACAATAGTTCGAGGGTGTACTCTGGTGACCTTCATATCTCTGATACTGACGACTCGACGTCCACAATGTGTAAGCTACAGTTCCAGCCGCTACCACTAACATAACGCCAAAAACTAGTGGGTGGAACTGAAGGGTCATTTTGATAGTTTTTTAGATTCCAAATTGAGCAAATGGTTGTTGAGTTCTGATAGATGTCACTTTGACAATAATCCCCAGCAGGAATAAGAAAAGTACTCCAAAATATGTATAAGGATACTTTAGTGGGTTGAGGTTGTTCAAGATTTGAATATTGTCTTTCAGATATACATGTTGCAGAAACAAGATAAAATGTTATAAATACTGTTAAAAAGAGGCCGATTTACTTCTTTTATTTGTTCTATCAATTCTTCATGTACTTTTTACAAACATATCACGAGCAGGTTTGCCAACAGCCAGCGTTGTCAACGCCGCTAGTTAATTTTATTGTACCAACATATCAAAAATTATGGTACAAGGCAAGATGCATAAAAATATTATGGTGCAAGTAATTAGTCCGCTCCTTATGTAAAATATTTTGAAGAAAACACTAGATCTAAGCCACTCTTGATTCTCCATAAAATGAAGAGGTCCAACGTACTTTGGTATTCCATTCACAGAGGCGCTAAGCTCACACCAATGTTTACATTTGGGTCAATCTCATTTCTCGCTTCGAGAGATTTTGACTTGACAAAACAAATCGAACCAGGGTTCCTATGAGTATTTGTACAATGTATGAAAATGAAGTGTTCGAACTGAAAAGAGGCACATGGATTTATGTAGGTGTGTCAATTAAAGCGCCTGCCTATTCCAAAACGTATTTGACCTTGAATGATTCGTGTTGAATATATTGTTTGAAACGATTATATGTGATGGAATTGGTCGATACTTGATAAAAATCCATAACTCATTCAAGTAACACTTCATTTTGAAATTTTCACTGCACAGTTTACAAAACCGCAACACATGCTTCGCTATACAATAGCTTTATCTAGTGTATGGAAACGTTTGAAAATGATATTGCATAGCGAAACACGTGTTGCAGTTTTGTAAACTGCTCAGTGAGAATCTCCAGTCATTTTTTGCTAATTATCATCGAAATTGCAGGATTCTTCATTCTCAGTATGTTAGACATTTTTTCAATATGTAATTTTGATTGTTTAGAACTTTTTTATTATTTCGGAATCAATTGTGCACGCGACCTACGTTGCTGCTTCGAAATAGTCAATTTTTTCAACCAAACTGTGAAAAAATACCACCAATAAAAACATACTAAATAGGTCAACGTTACATCCGGTTCCAGTATTAACTGTAAAGATACGCCTCAAGAATCCATTATATGGCAAAAGACCTGCTTAGTGAAAATTTCATAATAAAGTGTTTTTTTGAATAGACCTAACTAATATACATGATAACATAGACTAGCCATGACCTCACTTTTACATATATTTCACCTGTGGTCTGTGCATCACAGCGCCATGTGACAAATCAAATCACAATGAAAATATGACGTTGTGACTCTATCTGACGTTAAGTGAATGGGTGTCGTAATGCCAAAATGTGAATCTCTTCATCTTTCTTTAGTTGTTGGAGTCAATGTTTTCTCTTCAATGGCCAGTTTATATTATGAGATAACTACATATAACACATATTGATTTTTTTTCTGCCAATACGAGAAGTAGAAGTTGATTTAAAAATTAGTACTCTCGAAATTATTGTAGAATCAGCGCAGCGTAGCGTACTTTACAATAGTACATGATACTCAAAGTCAAAATATGGAACTTGTATTATAAAAACAACAAAACACATCAATCAAACAGCAGACATTCAGCACAAAACAGAAAGTATAAAGTATTACTCACAGATTACAATCTAGGCAAGTTCCTTAATATTACAGATCAATTGGTAGTCTCATCAGTGCGGAACTTAATAACTTGAGAATGATAATAAAAGGGAAGAATTGTACCAATTAACAACCTCAACAACATCACATAAGAAATTACTACCTGTTTAATTTTCGAATATTTGACTTAGTTGTTTAGAGCATGGCTCATTCCATATGTGACAATAGTTTTTTTTATTCCTGATTATATGTGAATCTTTTATTTGCAGTTTTCTTTGTATTTAGTTTCCATTAGTTAAAAACTGACACCGATAAACAGAGTAGCCAACTAAGAAAAAATACAGTTGCTCCAAATTTTGATACACTTGTGATATAAAGCAGAATGTGAAAAACTAAGGATACATATAGATTACGGCATGCTTCATCCGAAAGAAGTCAAGTAATTGGAGTTTGGTAGGCAGAAAAGTCTTATGTGATTTCAAGGTTGGCAATTAGTTAGGTATTGCCCTATTTACTCGAGTGAATGCGAACATGTTGAAATAAAGCTGATTGAAATATTGGCTCAACAGGCTGCTGAGATGACATTGTGATAATTTCTCAACTGCCATAAAATTACATGTCCCATAAGTTTTGAATTAATGTGACAATTGAAAAGTTATCATCAATTTATATTTAGCAGACTAAAACAATCCCTCAAAAAAGCAGTTGTAGAAAGAAGAATCATTAGCGAAAATAATTCAATATTTGACAGATACTACCAGTTTGACAACCTAAGGCGAAACGGTTTTCAATCATGTGATATTGTCGAGAATAAAAATAGAGGAGGTTGTTCATTACTTGATTACTTTGAGATAACTGAATCAGTTCATGAAACACAATAATATTAAATTATCTAAAGAAACATCTCGTTCAGGCCAGTGTTCCATTACCTACACAGTAGGTTCATGATCAGAAAACAACTACTCCCTTGGCTAGTACCACGAAGGACGTCGGATTATATCCGACAGATGTCAGTGCAGAGTTCTTCACTGAAGTTATTCCTGCATATTATGCTGTTGGCGATACAACCGCCAGAATCGATTTTTAATTATTGGAACACACTTGCATACCGGTTTCGAGCTGTTTGCATCTCGTCAGTGGAAGGTAGAGTCCTATATCAACACGAAGTCGATGATTTCCCATAATTAAAAAAATTAGAAACCATCGACTTCGACAGAATTTGAAATTGGTCAAATTTTAATTCTAGATTTTAGTATTTTCTATTTTTGAGTCCATCCCTGTTCGTGATTCGTTACCTGTCACAAAACAGATAAGATGTTCTATGAAGTTGTGGACATAGTTGCAATAATTTTTTTTAACAGCCCTATCAATCCGACTGTAACCTCACGAAATAAATCGACAGACATATTTTTCCCACTGATTCATTGAAGAAATATTTTCAGATGTACTATATTGGATTGCGAACTTTTAATTTTTGCAAGCAGTGAATGAACATATATATGGACTCCTAATGAAGATTGATTTCATTAAACTGAATTAGTGATAAAGGTATACATGATAACCTTGTCACTTATATGCATAGAAGATTATGGGAAATATTGACTGAATAAAATGATGTAAACACATAGCTGTGGATAATGAAAGAGCAAAGAATAATATAATGTAACTATGAATTATATTTCTTTGGCTCAGTTCTAGAACTGATCTCAGGTCGGACTCTGGTCGATTGCATCTGTTGCACGAATTTTTGGTATAAACCATTCCTACAAGTGTGAAAAATGTCAAATTTCAAATAACGCTTTCAATATTCCACGTGATTTATGAATAGAGGTCCCTAGAATAACCGGACATTGCCATGCCTGCTCGATCAAGATCGAGAATATATCCAAATGAGAAGTATAGCAACCTTGTCAACAACTTCATAGAACATAAAATCTGTTTTGTGGCGGTTTATCAATCATGAACAGGAATGGACTCAAAAATAGAGAGAACTTCAAACAAATACTTTTTTGTTTGTGAAATTATAAAACAACGATAAAAATAAAAACAACAATAAAAATTAATTGGCGCTCCGGGGCGACTTTATTGATTCCAGTGGCACATTTGCTTTTTTAGCTGAAGGAAAACCCGGAAAAACCTGCAGCATCACATCATCTGAAGATCTTGATCTTTCAATATTCTCGCTCTCATAAAACAAAATGTAGGGTGTCTCCAGAGGCTCCAATAGATTCAATTTATTGCCAGAACACTTCGTGACACGACTATCGTCGTTTACAAATTGTAAAATAGAAGGGATTTAGATCAATAGCTACTACAGTTGATAAATATTGGGAAATCGAATAAAATTCCGTACTTTTCAGTTTTCGTTCGTATCATTGATGAATAAAAAAAAGAACTGAAAAAGTTAATTTAAATTGAACAATTATTGAATGCTTCTTAGTGAATTTGTTAAAAATTTACTTAACAAAAATTTACATCGTATTGCGGTATAATTCAAACATAATTTTTTTCAGTAGAATTATGTATTTCTAAAGATTCAGCTGAAAGATTCAGATTCAAATGAATTCAGCTGAAATAAAAATTCCTTAAACGTCAAGTATCATCTACGTAAGGAAGTGTTTCTTAGGCATATTTTTAGGATAATTGCACTATTTCAATCAAGTTGATAAGATGAAAAATAAATGAGAGGTAGTGTATCCAATATCTATAATTATTCACTTATACCGTATATTTTTATACCGTATAGGTACGATATAAAAGTAACTAAAATCTGAATCATTCTCTGGACATGATGAAAAATCTGGGAACATCGAAAAGATTGATGCATGTTGCATCCCTTAAGAGACTACAATATTTCACTAATTGTTAGCTGAAGAATTATTGAATTTTCAAAATATGAGTATATTCCATAATAACATCAACAATTAAATATCAATTTCAATTACATTATGGAATGAATATCTGTTGATGTATTATCAAATATGTGTGTTAAAAAGTACATTGAGATGAAAGGGAAAACGTTGAATATACATATGAGAAGAATCGTTAATGGAACATTTCTAAACTCCATACTCAATGAAATGTAGCTCAATTTTATCCAGCTTTGAATGACAAAGATTGCATTGTATATTGAAAATTCATTCATGAATATCAAAATTACAGGTGAATTCATTTAGTGATGTTATAGAGGAGCATTCAGCAGTAAATTTACTGATTGGTCCATTTGAAACATTCATATAGAGTTACCACTGTCGACCATAAATGCATATTATAATATAAAGTTACTTACTCTATTGGAAGTGAATAATTTGAAAATATAACAATACAATTTAATGATATGACTAATATGACTTCAGAATAATTCTAATTTTCAGGTACAGGTCCATGTTATTATTTTTTGTAAATGAAACCGCAACGATATAGAATGCAAGTACTTCATTTTCGTCTAAATTGTTGATTTGAACTACAATTGTTCTAACAAGAACTAAGTGAAACTAACATACTCTTTCAGACAGACTGTCAAGAAAATTTTATTTTTTTTTATTGCTCATTGATTATAATATTGTTTAATTACTATTAATATTGCTTGCTGAAGAGTAGTATGGGTCTGGTTAGCAGGCGTCATTATAAAAAAATCATGGCATCATCAAAATAATGGTCAAGCAGAAAACACTTCACTCAACATTTTTTGTATGAAAGGCGGTATGTACTTCATTTCTCCAAAAATGTTTATATCTTCTCGTAAATCTTCATTTAATTTGGAACTATTTATGTGATTTGAAACACAGATCGATAATTTACAAATAAATTATAGATAGGGATTGTAATATGTTATGGTTAGATAGTGGAAACATTCTAACTAAACTTGATACTTTTATGACAGATGGTCAAGAAGAGTTACTCTTCTGCTTATCTATACATTGTTCGGATACTGTTAAAGATAATCCTTCCCAAGTAAGTACCTATTTCTTGATTTCAGGTAGTTTTAGTCTGGCTGACAGGTACCTACAGTAGTAATAACTGAGATGCCTGTAAAGTCATCGGTTATTTCATAAGTACGCAGTGTCGAAGAATCATTTGATAGTTAAGTGCATGCTCGTACGTTCTTCTAAACTGTGCATGTACCATCAGTTCAGTGCAAGACTCCTAGAATTACCCTGTACAATTCTAAAAACCTTGGTTTGGAATGACTGACAACAGCGCCCGAAACTCCAAAACTCTCAAGAGAGAAAGAGATGGATTCCTATCGCCAGAAATGGCGGCGCTCTGTCCAGGTGTACAGTATGGTTTATCTTCACAACAAAATTGTGGTGAAAATAATGACTTAATATTTGTGAAATTAACGGATTCGGCTTTACGTGCAATAGAGGAGTATATAAAAAACCAGGTGAGTTTTTGAAATTCTTAATGTTAATCTGATAAGTAATACAATCTGTTGCCTTCCACTTTTGATTAGTCGCCATATTCAGATGACTTATTAACCTATTATTTTGTTTCCATAATAAGGCTCTTTTCTCCTACTGTTTCTATGAGAGATTTGAAAGTTGGAAAACATATGTTAGAGTGTACGTTTTCCAAATTGGAATTCAGTTTTTGCTAATACGGCCCCAGCCACGTCAACATATTGAAAAAGGATTTTCAAGTTTAAAAATTCCAATTATAATAAAGTATTTTTTTGTTATCTTAGGAGAAAGGAAGGTAATGATTATTGTGAATACTTTTGTTACCTATGGGTTTGCAGTTGCCACTGCATCATTTTCTAGAAAATGACCATGTACTTTAAATTTCAAATACTTTCTCAATTATTTCAAGTTTCTATTACCAAATCAAATAACTGAATTTTTTAAACATTTAAAATAATTGATTCGTTTGTCGAGGAAACCTAATACCAGATCTTTCAGATATATATATTGTTCATTGAATAAATTATGAAGGTATTTCTGTACACATTTAAGTAATAATTTCTTTGATATGTCTAACAAGTTTCCAAACCAGTTTGAATGTTCTTAATTGTCTTGTGTAGTTACTTTGTGTATATTTGTTATTTGGATTCCATATTCACTCTAATTCTATACTCAAGATAGTGTCTAGGGTTGCCAGATTTTTGTGTAGCATCTAAAATTAGATTCAAAGGTAGAAATGAAGCTAATGATGTGGGTGCAAAGAATTTCATTCTAGATGCAGAATTTGGTTAAAAATGGTTATGATGTAAAGTAATACTCTGTTTCAAAGTGTTGTTGAAAACCAAACTGTTTTTTAAAGTTGAATCTTGTCTACATAATGCCTGTTGATATAGAATTCAAAATTAAAAAAATGTCCATGACAACAATGCAATCAGCTGGGGGCCGAGACCATCTTGCATCCCTTAAGAATCAGTTGGGTGAAAACTGAATGAAAAATTAATAGTGGATATGTAATAATTACCAGTTATCATACTTTGAATTTTTGGAAGTAGCAGATTCTCGTGGGGAATCTGAAGTAGAGGTTTTGACTGAAATAATTCAATTTCGTGTGATGAATTTAATTTTCTTATACCTTTGCTACCCTCAGAAATACTTTTCAAAATATAACAGTATAGTATATTTTACCAATGTACCTACTTATCCTATTGAATTTGTCAAATAGAAATCTTGTAGAGGTAGACAGTACCTCTTTGAAGTACCGGCTGTAGACTTTTTTAATTGAAAAGGGAATCTTTTTTATTAGCATATTAGTTTTTTGTTTAACTACTTCTTCATCATTGAATTGACAATGGGGAAAATTTCCAACGAAAGATAGGAAAAAGTAACTGCATTAAAAACTCATTATAAAGATATATGTAGATCATACGTGGAATTTTTCTTCGGATACAAACTGAAAGAAAAATCCCCATTCGAAACAATTACCTCCATATGAACATTGAATTACACGGAAGGAGAACATCCTTTTGAAACTACTACATCCATATGAACGTGAATTACTTGTGAAACATTTGTCTATTCAATTAGTACTATTAACCTTTGTTATAGAATTAATACAGATATCATTTATAGTTTCTCACATTTTTTGTTCAGTGATGAAAAAGTAGAAAGGCAAAAACACTTTCGGGATAGACATTTTCGCAGTTTTATTTTTGGATCAATTTCATGGAACAGATTTGCGGGAAGATGAATCATCCTTCTAGGCAAGCAGAACCACTTTGGAATTGAGGATGTTTTTTATTCCCAATTTCTTTGCAGTTAGGGCTTAATATTGCACCATCAGCTTTTATTTAAATTTTACAGGTTTACACACAATGAAGAAAACTGAAAGGACGATGTGCATTGTCTAAAATTACATCCAATTCTTAAATTTTTCCATAGGTCAAGAATTTTAATTTGGTTGTGGAGCTAATGCTAATATAGCACAATCCACTGATTGGCAAGCAGCAACAGTTAAAAAAATGTCGATAGCTAAAAACTAAAGCTTAAAATTATGATCTAGTAGTTACAGATCAGCTAAGAATTTACGATATTATTAGATTGGGAGTAATGTAGTGAGTCCACAAACATAATCTTGCTTATACATAGTAAACTTCTAATTTGTTTAAAACAGATAATTATATTTGAAAGTGCAATAAATGCAATATTCTGTATGTGGTTTAGCAAGAACATTTATATCAGTTTTTTCCAATTGAATTCAGTTTATTGTCCCAAGAAACAATGAATGTTCATTATCTAGAAAATATTTCACAAATAAAACGCAAGCATTTTGTGTTGAAATATTTAATGTGTGTATTTTAGTTTTTCTGTGTTAAAAGTCTGATTGCTTTCATTCGTACTGTCCCTGCTTGATGTAGAAAACAAGTTGAACATCCTGATGTCTTTGCTCCTTCAAAAATCACCTAAGTACATTGTATTGACGTTTGTTTTTACAGTCAGTAGAATAAGAAGTTGAGTGTGTTTACATGTGTTACTGGCTAAAACTAGAAACTAGAAAAAACTACTTTAAATTTTACTAGGAAGGAGTATATGGACTTGATTTTTCCTATGGGTGTTTATATCCAGTAAATGTTTGTTTGATTTGGTATTTCACATAGATTGATAAAATATAAGTGGACAGATAAGTGAGAGTAAATGCAGTAGATAATATATATGTTTCTTCCAAAACCTCCTTTAGGAAACAAAAAATACTTATATATTATTATCAAAATATATGGCATAAAGTTGAGTTTGTTTGCAGTTTCCTTAATATATCTGTAAAGATAACATTCTGTTCAAAATTGCCTGCAAAACTATATAATGCAGTGTATTATTTAAAATGTTTTCTTTTATCAATACATAACATGCTTGTTAACAAGATATGTTATCTTATATGGGCAATAAATAATACTAGAGGTATAACCAGGATTGAATATGACACCAATTCCAATATTCATTGAACTTTATCACCATTTAATTAGTTGTAACATCCAGGAATTAAAATCTCTTCTTCAAAAATTCCTTATATCTATTGGATTTCCACATGTGTCTATTCACTGATGAATGTACTATTTATTACAAATTACTGCGTAAGTATAGATCCTAGTTAAAATTCATAGTCACCTACCACATTTGATATTTATTATATATATATTATATATATATTACCTTTTAAGGTAAACTATTATTTTTTTGGTTTCAACGGCATCGACTACTTGATCATTAGCCTCGTGTTCTGGGTAAGCTATGTTAATAACTCCTTGTCCCACCTTGTGAGCATCATGTCAGCCACGTCATTTGACTGTATAATCATTTATCATATCAATTTAAGTATGATTGCGAAAAGGGTTATTTTGGTGAAATAGAATTATTATTTTGTGAAAACGTTCGAAATGGCTGGCACATTTACTAAATCATAATACTCAAATGAACAATCATTTGGATCAACTAGCCATTATGAAAAGCTAATTTTCAGCTTTCTGTAAAAGAATATTACAATTGATAATAAAACTACAAATATATTAATAATTATAATTTATAATGTATTTGTCGACTTTTGAATTATTAAACATTCCATGGAATATGCTAAATCCTTGGTATAAACAGGGTTATCAGACCTAAGAATGATTTGTTGCATCCCGTTTTTTTAAATCATTCTCGTGTCCTTGTATCAACACAATTATCTATTGAAATAGAGGATTAACTGTCTGCAGTCTAGACAGAAATGCAGAACTTGAGGCTATTAATGATAATTCAGAAATGTTCTATTTTTAGCTTTTATAGAATTACTTTTAAGAATTGTTCCTAAGAATGTATTTCAAAGAAACAGATAATAAAATGGCCCCATTTAACAATTCTTATCTATTGGGTCTAATTCCACCTCAAATCCAGACAATGGGATTAAATTAAAATTCAATCACTCATGAGGTCACTTTTTCATTTGTGTAAAGGAATATAAATGAGGGTCAATCTGACACCAACATTCAAAATATATTTCAAATGAGTGTTGGAATATATAGAAACACACATAGTTCATCACAAATTAATGACATTGGAATAACTTTTTGCATAAGTTGATATAGAGTGCAACCTTTCATTGGGATTATATGGTGTAATACAATTTGTCGACAAAGGATGTCATGTTTATAAATACATCAAATGTTAAAAATATATAAAATGTTTTTTAAAGACTATATAGTGTTCACAAAAATACAGTGAAGATTAAAAAACAGACAAAAAATAATAAAAAAATATCAAAGATAAGAAAAAATGTACAAATATGTTATCATAAAACAACACAATTTGAAATTACTTGACATATATCGTAATATACATCGTGGTATACCGAAAGACTGGAAGAATACTCTTCCAAACTGTAGAAGCACTTTCCCAAAACAAGGTTCTTTACTGATTTTCTAAATTTTTTAAGTTCATAATTTGATGTAATATGTTTTGATAGATGATTATATATTTGTCTACTTCTATAGATTTGAGACTGCCTGGTCAAAGATGATGTGGGTAGTGGAAGGGCAAGTTTTTTATCGCTACGTGTAGACTTTTATGTATGGCTTTCAAACTTTTCTTCATGTTTGTGAAATAAGCAGACAAGCCTCTAGAAAACAGTTATTGATTCTCAAGTAATAAAAATCCTAAAAAATCGTAGAGTCCGCTTCAAATATCAAATCATAACTTCAACGTCTTATGTGCACGATAAAAAACCAATAATAGAAAATATAAAAGTATGTGGGTAAATTTCAGGTACATACCGATAGCCTGGTTTGATTTGAAATAATAAACCTACTCCTAAATTTTAATTTAGAACTTAGGAAGCGGTTTGTCAGTTTGAGTCCTTATAATTTTTTTTAACCTCTTTATAAAAGTCAGAGGTCAAAGGTTTTTCAACCTCTTTGAATTTTTATATTTAACGTATCATCATTTTTTTCTCTGA